ACCTATTTGGAATTCAGTGTTTCATTTTCCATCATCTGTTAAAACAGTTTCCATATATTAAATTTGTTTTAATTGTTTGATTTTGGTATCTCCAATGTGTAATTTGCATGTTGAGCTGTCACTTTTGCTGACAACCATGCATTCTGTCTTATTGCAATTGATGTTTTATCCTTTCTTCTTGTTGTGGATCCCGCGTGAAAAATAGGTATCCAATAAATGACAAACGCAAGTATTTAAGCTAAGAAATTAAATGTATTTACACAAAATACAAAAGGTAATGCTGTTAGTAAAATCCAGGAACGCCGGTTAGTAGCAAATACAGATAGATATATACAGTCTCGAAGTAGGACTTCCTTAGAGTCTACGTGCTTGTAACTGACTTCTACAAGAGGTTACTTCACTCCATCCGACGCTCACAGATGACTCATGTACGACTCCGGTACGACTCATCTTCTCTGCCTGACTGTGGCTATTTTATGGCAGCAGGACGAGTCCATTATATCCGAAAAAGGGTGGACCCCATAATACCCCCCTCCTTAGATGCCTTTTTGGGGGGAGTTAATATTTTTGTCTCTTGTGGTTGACCTTCTGTGTGTGTACTTTTCACCTTTTATGGTATACATTAGATTTCCGATTCTATTGATTACTGTACCCGGCTCCCAGTACGACATATTGTTTCTAAAATTTTTGAAATAAACCTGTTCTCCAGGTTTGAACGACCTCTTTGGCACCATCGGTGTATATTGAATTTTGCTCTTGCTCGGTAGTGGGTAATGATGGTCCTTTATTGCCTTGTTGAGTCCTGTCGAAAAATCTGCGATACGCCGAATTTCTCCTGACTTCTTTTTAACGTAAACCACCGGCAGAGCCCACTCACTAAACTCTGTTTTAGATAGAATCCCAGTTTGTTCAAGTCTCTCCAATTCTTTATCTATTTTTTCTATCGTAGCAAACGGGACATTTCGCTTTTTTTCTAAAAAAATTGGTTGGACGTTTTTTTCAATTCTATTTTGGCCTTAAATTTGTTGCATTGTCCCAACCCGCTTGAAAATACCTCAGGAAATTGATTGTATAATTCTTCCTTCCATTTTATGGTAACTGATTGTTCAACCTCTAACTTTTTGCAAAACGAGTTAATAGGTAAGTCCCAAACATTGAATTTCTGCATCCAGTCGATACCTACTAAGTTTTCAGTATCTTTCATGACGTATATCTTCAGTTTTTTGTTTTGCCGTGAAATTTAACATTCACTATTATTTCTCCCTCAAATTTTATTCGTTTTTTCCTGTAACCGATTTGGCAATTTTTTGAGTGTGTAACATCGTAGGTCTATTGAGTTTTTTCCATGTCTGTAAGTTGATTATCGTGAGGTCGGAACCCAAATCCAATTGTAATTTAATCTTTTTGTTTAAAATTTCGAGTTCGACATATTTTCTTACATTGTTGTTGTCATCATTATTCATCCTTGTAGCTCTTATTCTATTAGTATAATTTCTATTTCTGCATTGAGATGCCTTGTGGCCTTTTTTTCCACATTCATGACAGTTTTTATATCTGAAGCAGCAATCCTTGTTCCAATGTAATCCTCCACATCAATAACATGCTGCTGGAGGGGGCTTATATTTGTTTCGATATTTGTCATAGTTTGTCCTGTATGTTGTAATTTTTCTCTTATCATAACATTTTATTTTTCTTTCCAGGGAGGGCGAGAATCTTTTTTCATTGTCGTAAAATTTTAGTTTTCTTTCCAGGGAGGGTGAAGAACGTAGATTTTTGTTTAACTTACGTATATGAGAAACAGCCGATTCTTCAATGTCCTTTGCGTCTTTCTTAATGCTTAAACATCTCTGGCAATCTTCTGATAATTGCTGTAATGTTAGACCCGGTTCATTTTGTAATTTTGCCAGCATTCTTCTATGCATTTCACTGTCTTTTGTAAAAACTAGCCCTTGAACAAAGATGAGACATTTAAAAATATCCGGGGTTAATTCCGCTTAGTTTGAAATCATCACAATGTTTATTTACTATTGCGGCAAACGTTGAATAATCCTCATTATCGCCCTTTACCAGGTTAAGGCATTTCCACCTCCTATGGAAGAGTGATGTTTTGGGGCTGAAGAGTTCTTTAAGACATGTCACTGCTTCGTCAAATTTTAATTTGTTCGTCTTTTTTGGCAAGATATAATCCACGAACTTTGTATATTCTTCAGTTCCTAATTTTCTAAGCAATAGATGTAGCTTTTTCACTTCTGTCCAATTTTGACAGTCTATATTAAAGATGTCTTCATGTTTTCTGAAGTAATCGCCAAAATTTTTGTCCTCATCTAGAGAATATTTGGAAATTTCTATGGTATTCTGCGTCTTGCGAAAATGTTGCTTCTTTTTCGATATCTAATTTCTTGTTGCCTGCTACTTTCAATATTAGTTCCTGGAGCTCTGTTTGTCTATCTTGATTTTCCTTTTGCGTTTGTAATAATTGTTTTTGCCATATTTCTTGTAGCTGTAACTGTTGCTCATTTTGGTGCTTTATTAGTTCTACCAAAATATTTTTAAAATCTTCCATGATTGCTCAATTTTCTGTATTTTTACTCCTTGAAAATTGTTTGTCGCTAATTTGTTGTTGGAGGACGAGGGAAGGATTTTTCTATTTCTTTTTCTCGTGTGAGTTCGAATAACTCGACACCAATTTTGTTGAACGTCGAGGGAAGATTTTTCTTTTTGTTGGTGCTTTTTCTTTTTCCGCTTGGGTTAGAATCTTTTGTGGCCAAGTTGTTGGTTAGGCGTACGAAAAGTTTTTTCTTTTCGTGAGTTTCAATCCTCGTTTCGCCAAGTTGTTGTGGATCCCGCATGAAAAAATAGGTATCAATAAATGACAAACGCAAGTATTTAAGCTAAGAAATTAAATGTATTTACACAAAATACAAAAGGTAATGCTGTTAGTAAAATCCTGGAACGCCGATTAATAGCAAATACAGATAGATATATACAGTCTTGAAGTAGGACTTCCTTAGAGTCTACGTGCTTGTAACTGACTTCTACAAGAGGTTACTTCACTCCATCAGACACTCACAGACGACTCATGTACAACTCCGGTACGACTCCCGTACAACTCCTCTTCTCTGCCTGACTGTGGCTATTTTATGGCAGCAGGACGAGTCCATTATATCCGAAAAAGGGTGGACCCCATAATACTTCTCATTTACCTTCACTAACTTCTGTTGGAGTTTTTGCAGTTTCCTTTCTATATCTGCTATCAACACTGTCATCTGTATATCTTATATTGTTAAGATGGTGGCCACCAATAATGAATTCTGGTAGGATTTTTCTCTCAGAATCACCTCACTGTATAGGCTGACTAAGTCCGCTGAGAAGAAACATCTTTGTCTTACACACTTTCCTATTTTTGTAAATTTACTGAATTCATTTTCTATCTGTATGCAGGTGATTTGCTGCCTGCATAGGTGCTGGATTATTCTAATATCCTTCCCAAATATGTCATGATTACCTAGCAGTTCCAAGAGTTCTTTGTGATGTACTTCAAACGCTTTTGTAAAATCTATAAAACAAATTCTACATTGTATTGCTCTTTCTGATATTATTCTGAGCATAAATATTGCATTCCTTGTTCCAGTGTTTTTAACAAACCTGCACTGTTCTTGTCCTGTTTCTAATGTAATTCTGCTGGGCACCATATTCATCAGAATTCGAATGATAAGTTTTGTTATATGGCTCATTAAGTTGATTGTCAGATGGATTGGGTGTTGGTTGTTTTTGTTTAGCGGCTCTATGGGTTATTTAATACCAAAACCTAAGTATTTTGCATGCAATTTTATTTTATTTTTGGAAATAATGGTTTAGTGATAAAAGTCTTACTAATTAACCCATTGCTGAGGAGAGAAAACAGATTCATACCTTTCCCAAGGGTATTTGTGCTTAAGTGAATATAACAAACCAAACTGGAATTGAAACTTAGCTCTCTGACTAATGCTTCTGAGCCATTATCCATTACACTCCTGCAAATCCAAGCTTACAGCACCTGGTATTCCCAAGCAGTCACCTATCTAGGTAGTGACCAGGCTTGACATTGCTTAACTGCAGTGATCACTCAGGAATCAGTGTTTCAACGAGATGTAGACATAAGCCGATTGTCTGATGGAGCACACATTTGTCTGCACTGGCTTCTTAAGCAGTGCTATGAAAACTTAGTTCTTCCAGTATATAACCATTGTTGTATATTTAATTTATTAGGATTTCAGATTTAATTTACCTTAAAAGGTCTGCTAGAAATATTGTTAGAAACAGCTTGCACATTTACTAAATGTAGAATTCTTTTGACTACAATAGAATAGTGTTAAAACAAAGTATCACTCATTCACCTAATAAAATAAATGACCTTCAAATATTAAAGGCTTATATCTTTGACCCAAACATTGCACTTGAACATTCATGTGTCAAACATCATAGGTCTGGTTTTATTTAACCCTGAGTGGCTATATTCAATGAGGATATTTAGAAATATGAAAAATTTCTCATAATATTCAGGGTTTTAAGCTTTATCATTAAATAATTTTTTTTAATTTTGAATTAATCTTATCACCAAAATCAAGAGCAAAAGTAACTTTTTTTTATAATTAAATGTTAACATTTTCAAGGTTTAATTAATAACAATATATTTATAGAATTGTCTTCAATGAGACTCAGTTAAATAGGTTATATTTTACATTATACAAAGAAAGTTGAGTCAACTAAAGCTGAGTTGGTAGGAGTACCTAACCAGAATTATATGTACCAAGGTACTGAACATAGTTTTAAGTCTTAGAAAATCAATTATTTTCTCAAATCCTGTTAATGTCACCTTAATTTGATATATTACAAAAAGTATAAAAAAATAAGACAATCTGCAAAATAAATTCAACAAAAAAAAAAAGAGACATCTGACAAGGCAAAATTTAATTGTAACATATCTTTACAAAATAATCACATGATTATCACAGAATTACCCGTGTTTCTCGGAAGAGAGACTTCAGTTTTACATGGTAATTTGGCTGGAGCTTTCAACACAACTCGAACTTGGTAGTACCTGGGGGAAAAAAAGAAAAAGAAAAAATTGAAACAACATACTTTAAATAGTTTCAAAAATGCATAAATTCCACAAGCTCATATGAAATCCTTGACAATATCAACTAAGGCTTATTCTATTAGCTCAGCTTTAAATGGAAAGAGAACACACATTCAAGCAATGTGTTTTAATTCTCAAAAACTTGACCTTCACAATAAGACCCTTTTCAAAAAACATTACAAAATTTCAAGTGATACATCTTTTATGAGTACATATTTGCACTGTGGAAGTGCAGACAAGTCTCATCATAAAAGTTCTTTAAAGAAGACAAAGGCCCAACATAAATCACAAAAATGTTACTTCTTATACTGCTAAATCTATTTATGTAGAGCATCTTTATCCATTACAGCAGATGGTGATTGTATTCTCTCCATTCTCCAATGGAGTGCAATATTAACTATTCACCTCTTATGACATTAAAAAAAAATCTAAGTCATATGCAGTTATGCTGTAAATCATTTAACTTATGACAAATACCAATATTCCACCAAAAATATATTTCTTGAAATAAAATGTGATTTTTGGAAGATGACACTCCTACAAACTCAACATTCAATCATCTAAATTTTATGTGTTCTGTGATTTTTACTAACAGTCTCCAAATCTCCTCGGATCTTGTGTCAGAAGTAGAAGTCAATTGAAAAACATTTCCAAATTAATTAAAAGCAACACTATTGGCTTTCAAAGCATAAAAACCAAATAGTTTTATATATATATATTACATCACATATTTGATTACCGATTATATAGATTATCCTCAAATCACTTCCAAATTCCAAGAAATCAAAAATGAATGATATATACAACATATGTCAATAAAAACAACAGCATATACAACACTGAAAGAAAAATTAAGGTTACAAGTTCTATTAAATATTTCAGTAACTTATGCTGGACAATCTCTTCACGGATGAAGGTGGAAAATAGAAGCAACAGAAATATGGTTCGACAGAAGGATGCTGAGAATGCCATGGATAGAGCAAATAAGCAATGAGGGTGTTTTAAGCAAAATGAAAACAAAAAGGACATTTGTACTCAGAATCAGAAAGAGAATAAATTTCTTGGAAACACAATGAGAACAAGAACTTAGAGTTTGACACTCACTAGGCTTATCGATTGTAAGAGAGTAAGGGGAAGGCAACGAGCCACCTCCCTGAAAAGTTTGTGTGAATGGATGGTGGAACAGGTGTAGGAGGCTTGTCAAAGGTACAAATGTTGCTAAGGGCTACAAGAGATTGTGGAGATCCATGATTGCACATGTCCTGAAAGGAAATATACTACTCCCTTTGTATTCACAAGAGTAAAGGACTTCAAATTATTGAGTTTAAGAGTTGAAGCCTAGAAATTTTTCTACTTCCACACTGAATGAGAGTGAAAGTAATCAATTAAAAATATCAAATAATAGTATTTATATATAAAACTTTGTATCACTATTGTGATACTATGTGCTTGTATCCAAAATAAAATCTAACAAACTACAAATGACTAATAAGTATCCATAGTGTGCTCTTCACAAACCATGTCATTTGCTAATTAATAATCAATGATACCACCAATTTTTTCATTACAAATTTACTCAAGGAAAAATTTAACAATTTGTCAATTGCAATTTTTTTATTGTACCTTAATAAGCATTTTAATATGTAAAAACACATGAACACTTGAAATTTGGTTTTGTTTTTTCTAATCCCTGCTCCCATTTACAGCTTACAAATATTTAAAAACATAATTAGAAGTAGATTATTTGGATGAAAGAAATTTTTTTCATGATTAATTAAACATTATTATTTATAGAGCATGGCTGAAATAATGTGAAAGATACACATGCCAAACAAGTGGTGAAACTTTTTTAAGGCATTTCTGAAACTTATAAAGAGAAAATAAAACTGTGCTCAAAATACATCACTCAACTGATGATAGTCAGAGAATTATTGATCAAAAGAGGAACTTGCAAAATTCTGCCTTCAGATATATTCCAAAATAATTATTTTCACTTACCATAATACCAAGTATGTTCTCCAGATAAAACTTACTGCTTTCAAACATAAACATATCAAATTGTATATTTCCATTAAAGATCAGACCAAGATGTCTGAAAAATTGAGTGTGAAGTGTTGTCTTCTATATATATATATATATATATATATATATATATATATAAAAGATGTATTTAGTAAGCAAGAATTCTTTCAAACATATTTGCTTGAATAGTATTGACAAGTTTTGTCTATCCAATTTTTTTTATTAACATTTTTTTTATTTCTGAATTAGTTGTTTTACGCTGATATCCAAAGAAATATTTGGATGGCCAAGGGTGCATTCCAAAAGCTGGGCAGAGTATTGCAAGACAGGAGGATTTCTTTGATAACAAAGGAAAGAGTACTGAGCTGCTCCTTTACAGCAGCGAATGTTAGATGGTCTCCTCAAAGATGAAAAAGAGACTCAAGGCAACAGGGGTATGGTTCTACAGAAGGGTGTTAAGGATATCATGGACTGAGTGTGTGAGCAAAGATGAGGTTTTGGAGAGGATGCAAACAAGGAGGAGACTTATACTTAACATCAGGAAGAGGCAGCTGAAATTTCTGGGACATATGAGAAAGGAGGGCCTGGAGAATCTGATACTCACAGGCAGAATAGAGGGAAAGAGAGACAAGAGAAAAGCATGACATACCTGGCAGGCTTAAGCAAGTGGATAACAGAATGTAGTCTGGGAGAGGTGGCGGAGATAAAACTTATTGAGAGTTACAAAGGATAGGAGGAAGGCGAGAGAGCCATGATCACCTACGTCCTGAAGGAACACAGCACATAAAAAGAAAAGAATATAATCAGTAAATTTATTAAAGTACATTTTTTGTTTCCACCAAGTTCTTTCAAATGTTACATTTATTGTCAAGGATTACGTATTGTGTATGTTCATATAATGGTCTTTGGTTAATTTTGGCTTTCCCTCATTTGCTGGAACCAATTTCAAGTCCCTGAAGGTGGCATCATTTATAACAGTCAAACTTAATTTTAATGTGTTTTTTTTTATACACACTTCAATATACAATCCCATATGGAGAAAATACCTCATTTAATTGTTTTAATTTACCCTTTGGTAAATTTACCAATTATATAAAACAACTAATTCAGAAATTTGAAAAAAGTTAAAAAAAATCATTGGATAGACAGAACTTATTGATATTATTCTACTAAACATGTTTCAAAAGATATATCTACTAGCTTAAAAGCCACCCTGTCAGGCAGCAATTTAAGCTAGCTCCTGTGGAGGGTCATTAATTGGGCCTTCATCACAATAGGTAGGGAGTAGTAGATGCAATAGGCAACAATAAACTACAAAATAACTCAAAATTGATTGCTGCATTTAAGTATCACATTAATATTTAAAGCTTACCTTTTAAAAGTTCAATGATAATTCTTCTGCTGCCACTTAATTTAAAGACAATTTGATGCATGTAGGTCCTTACTTTCCATACAAACAATTATTTTAATTTCATGGGTGACTTTCACTAGATTTCACAATTAATTTTGATTATAACACAAAAAATTTGTCACAAAAAAATCATGTTTAAAAAAAAAAAAAAAAAAAAAAAAATGTATGTTATTTTGGGCTACGGCCTCTAGGAATAAAGTTGAAAACATGTGACACACTGACATTTGCATTTATTATATAGAAGTTAATGAATTTTATTTATAAACCAACATTGTTTCTCATTACTTTAAAATGTTAAATTTACTGGATGTGTGTGTTTGAGAAGAAATCAGAATTTTTTTTTAAAAAATAGTGTGTATATATATATATATATATATATATATATATATATATATATATATATATATATATATATACACACACATACACATACATACACACACACACACACACACACACACACACACACACACACACACACACTGGCCTGTGCAGTGAAGAGCCTTAATAATGAAAACATGCTTTCCAGCATGGTTCAAACCTGTGCCTCCCATGTAAGTGAAACCACCATAAAACACAAACCATATCTGAACAAAAGATGTACATTTCATAAATAGGGTAATTCAACTTTGCTTGACTGTAAACTTTTTGTGGCTGACCAGGCTTTATGAGGGGGTTTCTCCTAGACGGGACATGCAGGTTCAAACCTTGCTGGGAGACATTTTCTTTAAGACTCTTGGATGCACAGGCCAGTAGACATATTTACACTGTTTAAGAAACAGAGATGTCTATTCAAACACATGTATTCACTAAATATAGTATTTAATAAGAACTATATACGAGAGGAATTCAAGAAGTTTTGAGATTTTTTTTTTTTTTAAGAGAGGCATTTATAACTTTCCTAGATCATTGTAATTTTAGTATATTATTACTATACATTTAATAAGCTGACCTGCCAACTTTTGTTATTTCAGATTGAAGGAGACAGCTGTAACAGCTCTTTGAACACACCCTACTAAGCACTGCTTCTCACAGCTAACTAGTTTGCAGAATGCAGTCGGACATGAAGACAATTTGGAAGCTCATTATGCAATAAAGTTTTTTCTCAACAGAGATGAGCACCAAAACTGTCCTTCGCCTTTCCCTACAGTTCAGACCTTGCTCCCTGTGGCATTTTATTGTTCCCCAAGCTGAAGGAAAACATCAAGGGCATTTGTTTTGAAAACAATGAAAAGGAAGAGGCTGTGACAAGGGTCCTGGACATTTTCGCTTTGAATGACTTATGGAACCGTCATGTAGTCACTGGAGTGCAACAAGTCCATTGAAGTCGTAAGAACCTACTTTGAATGACATTAGAATGTCTCTCCTGAAAAAGTCTCAAAATTTCTGGAATGCACCTTGCATTATATATATATATATATATATATATATAATCCACATACCACATGTATCAGTTTGCTGTACTGTTACTTATATGAGTTCTGCTGCTGGTAGGATTTAATTTACTTCACTATTATTTCTCAAAATC